ACATTCCTTGAGAAATATAAGAGTTGTGGTTCCTTTCACCGGACCATCTGGTGATGTTGAAATCACCACCCAGGCACCATACAGAATGTGGTAGGGTAGCTACCCTGTCCAATTCAGACCAAACACGACCGCAAAGGGAGACGGAATTTGGACCATAGATGGCAGAGAACTTTAACTGTACACTATCTGTAGACCTGGAGAGAAGGACAGCGACAGAGAATTCTCCTAAGTGGCCGAAACTGAGGTCAAACTCTATTGGGTTCCAAATTACCCAAATGCCACCAGAAGCCCCCATCGTTGGTAAAGAAACCCATTGACACGGCCTTCTGCCCCACACACTGCGTACGGACTGCAGGGCTCCGGCTGTTTTGTCTCAATCAAGGCCAAGATTGACGGGGAAACTTTTACAGAGAGGTCTCGCACCGAGTCCCTCTTGGACTTTAGTCCCAGCCCTCTAATATTCCAGGAAAGAATCTTCATTAAGAATGGAAAGAAGCTGGGGAAGGGGCAGTCCTAGGTGATCGGCTGAGAGAAGAGGGGGATTGGTTAGTGGAGGGAAGAGCCTCGACTTCCGAAGTAGGTTTGTCGTAAGTAATTGAGGAAAAGAGGTTAAGCAATTCACGCTGGCCTGTGAAATTCACCTTAAACTTGCTTTGAGCGTCCGCCTGCAAAAACCTGCGTGCTAGGCCTTCAGGTCTAGTATGTTCGAAACCCATTACCCTATAGATCTCCTTCATCCTGTCAGAAACCCGAGAGCTATCTTTCCCACCTGTACTCTCTTCGTCGCCTTCAACCAGATGGGAAGAAGAGTTTGCAAATGTTATAGACTCAAGGGGTAGCGCAGGAGGGTTGGCAGAGCTGGACGGCTGACCAGGGGAAACAGAAGTATACAGGTCCGGCGGCAATGAGCTAGGATCTGGACTAAGAGCAATCAACAGTGGCTCAGGGAATTCAGGAACAAGGTTATCCAGGGGAGGTTCAAAACAAGTCTTGTTTAAGGTTTTCTTATATAAGAAATGTACTCAAGCATAATGAAGCATCTTGTAATAGACTTTTATTCAAAACCCTAGAGTAGCAAATACTCCTTTTATATCTGGTTTTTTAATCTCCTTTTATATTTGGATCTTCCTTACCTTCTTCGTTGCTAAACCCTAGCTCCAAGCTACTGGGTTTGCTCTATGTTGGTATCAAAGCCCGACAATCAGTATGGACGTACTGTAGCACAATATTGCAGCATGGTACTGTAGCGTCAATTTTTGTGCCCTAGAACACAAGTCATGCTTCCAAGTAGAAGAAAAGGAGGAAAAGAGGCAACCTTAGAAGCAATTGATACTAGTTCGCGAGAAGGGATTGCAAATCTGAGGAGATTAGTGGAAACCCTAGCTCCACAGAAGGAAGCCCCATCTCAGGAGGATGAGATTGAGGCAGATGAGTCGATAACCAAGTTGGTGTCAGATGCGTCAAATTCATGGTGTGATCCCAGTCAAGAGTTCGATGCACAATGTCATCAACCTGGGCACAAAAATGATAATGGTTTGAACATGTGTTATGGAACTTTATCCGAGGACAACCATAAATAAACTTTGTTCTCATCAAATAGTACTCAAGCTCAGCACGTGTGGATTGGGAGTCACTGCCAGAATTTGACAAATACCTGGATGAAGATTTAGGTGTTGAGAAAGAAGTGGGTGATCATAGCTTTAATAATGATCCAATCCAAAACATGATCAAGAAGAAGATCCTACAATTGGAGAGGATTTTGTGGATGATTCTATTCTTGATGAAAACAAGGTGGATGTCAAGGAGTTGTTGCCAAAATATTAAAGGTAACTGGTTTCTTAGTCTCTAGAGAAAGCAGTAAGGAGAGTGGTGTTGATGGAGGTAAGGATGATGATATTCTTCTTCTTCGATTTTACCTGAATTTAGGGTGTCACATTATGTTCAAACCAAAGAGTTCAAGGTAGTTTCCTCTAAACTCTCAACTAGTGAAGCAAAGCTCTTGTTCAGAGTGCTTAGCAGGTGAAGCAAAGCTCTTGTTTCAGAGTGCTTTGCAAGAGCAAAAAGCTCTCTTCAACAATCGCTTTGCCCTTGCCACCATTGGCTTGCTTTGCATAGGCTACATATCAAATCGGGGCTTGCAACATCAAAGCACTAGCTTTAGAGGGCCTCGCAAGAGCAAAAAACCAGCAAGCGTAGGTTCGAAAGCCAAGAAGCAACGGCTAGCGCAGCACTAACGCATCCGTTTTCTTGCTTGTCTTTGCTTACTCGAAACAAGAAGCAAGGGCCAACCTAGCGCGGCGCGTTAGCGCTTAAATCTTTCTCTTTGAGAAAATTCAGGTTGAGTCGTCGCTCTACTTTAATGGAAGAACCAAATTTGTTCCTTATCATCTTCCCCCAAAACCTAAACCTAAGGAGCCTAATATTTGCATCTCAATCTCACCAAATTCAGCAAGAACGAGCCTCATAGTTCAAAGTGTTCCTTGCATCCTAAAAGAAGAGTTTTCCTCAGGTATGTTTGTGATTCATAGTGTTACGCACTTGTATTGCAGCAGTGTTAGTTTTCAATTTGCACAAAACGTGATGGATGAAATGCTTATGAGAGACGCCATGATCGGGAAAACATCGATCTCTAGTTATTCTTTGAATTGTATATCTTTAAGGTTGAGTTACAATATTTCCAAGAGATGAAAAATTTTGGGTTTTTTTGTCTTCTCAATATACCCTTGATGGTATTATTACATCAAAATGGTGTAGTGGATGATTAGCGAGTATGGACGTAATTAACCAGGCCTATGCTAAAGTTGTGAAACATGGGTTTGGCAGTAATCTTTGAACTGGCATTGTCCTCTCATCAATTCATTGTAAGATTGGCAATATCCTTTGGGCGGATTCAATGCTCAATCTTACAAGTCATAGAGGTGAGATTTCCTATACAGTTACTTTGAATGGATATCTTCAAGGATGTATGATTAGAAGTGATTCAAGACTTTTCCCTCTTACGCTTCTCAACCAACTGATCAAGTAGTTCTGTATATCATAAATTGAGCCAGCGCAAGATTGGATTGTGTGAAGTGGTGCAAAAGATTAATGACAATGTCTACAAATTGAAGTTTCCCAGTCATACCCGCACTTTTGGTGTTTTCAAAGTCAAGCATCTCATTCAATATCGTGGTGATAACTCTGACGATGAGCCAGTGAATTCGAGGGCGAATTCGTTGAGGTAGCACACAGAATACTGCTCTCAAGTATCTAGATAAGCTTAAAGTTTACAAAAGGAACCGCAGAAGGGGAAAATGGTCATTAAACAAAAAAAATTGAACAAATCATAGTGAGTTACAAATACCTAGAAAGTACTTCCAAGTGAACACATGTAGCCAAATGTATAAGGAATTGTCTACAAAGAGACCATTTATCTTTTGTACATAGAAGTCACAATCATTCTTGTCCTTTAAATTCCAAACTGTGTGGTTGTAAGAGTTTGATTGAATAGACACAAAGTTCCAAAAAAAAAAATCTAAGACTTTGTGACTCACACCAAGCTGTCCAATTTGACATCTAATGAATGAGAATGATTGTGACCTCCATGTACAAAAGATAAATGGCTTCTTTGTAGATAATTCGAATATATAAATACATTGTGTTAATCTTTTCAAAAAATTACATATATAAATACAGAACAGGAAAGAAAACATTGATTCTTTGAGTGCAAAAGGTGGGTTTCACGAGCATATATGGTGCTCTCTTACCCTAAGATAGGATAGGAGAAGCAAGTTAGTTGCAAGAAATCAAGCCAGGAATTCTAAAAACGAGAAAAAAGAGAGCCCGACAGTGAAAACTAGTAGCAGAGCCCACGATAAGTAAAAACACATGCCAATTGCAATCCAAGAAGGATAGTGGAAAAATAACCTCGAGACCAAGTAGATAAGCCCCTTATCTGTTCGGTGCAATTTTGAAGGTCACATGCATCATTGTATCAGTGTCTAATAACTTGAACTCAGTATCCAACATGGAGAGCCAAAACCAAGTCAACTTGCCTGAGTTTTTCGATTTTATTAAAAACTAGGTGAATTTTGCAACCAAGTTTGAGAACAGCAGGATTCAAATATGGGAACTATTCTAAATAAAGAAGCACATGCCACTGCAAAACCACAATATTTTATGTCATAGTTCCAATGCATTTAGTTCAAATACTAAAAGCTCTTCCAAACCTGAGGTTTTCATAACAAAACTCAAGGACCCTCAAAGACGAGTTGAATCAAAAAATGGGGAACTCACCAAAAACATAAAATATCAAGTGTTACAGACCCAGATTGCAGTCCATGAGATTTAAGATTCGGGAACTGAGACAAGGGAAGGTAAGATAGATTAAACCCATTTAGAAAGGTAATGAGGCAGGATATTACAAGAGGCCCAGAAATTTAACTAGACGCGCTTGCTCTTATCTTACCTCATGCTCCTCATATTTAAAATGACTACATAGAATTTGCTAGAGAAGATTTCAGCACATGTATATAAAGAAATGCATTATCTTTTAACCCTGACATTGAGCACACAGCCTTTCATGAGCAGCACATTTTTCCCCATAAATAATCACCAAATAAAACAATTATCATATTTGTGGATTCATAAATCTTGTCCAAAACAATAAATACCAGTTTATCCGTCCAAAATATATATAGATAAAAGAAGACCATCTCACAAAATCTAAAAATGAAAAATAACAGCAATAATCACATCAGTCTGATCTAAAAAGCAAGAAATCCAGTCCATGGATAATTGAATAACACCAAAAACAATTAACTTTCAACAAAGTAACGGTGAAATAATTAAATCTGGTAAAATATCAGGAAAGATTAAGACTAAAAGAAAACTGCACACATGCATATCTACATCTCATCGGAGTATTGTTGACTGAAACAAGAAATTAACTTAGAGTGAGAAAAACACAGTAAACAGAATATGAAAAAATGGATTAGGGTTTCGAGCAAAGAGCAACTTACATCTTCTGGAAAGGGAGAGCGCCGGAATCTCTCTCTCTCTCGCACACGCTCTCAGTGACCAAAGGTAGAGAATTAAGGAACTCCAAGAAACCGGAAACTCTCAATTAATTTAGGCGCGCTGGATTGGCCATTGCTAGATTTCTTAAATCGCAGGGGCATGCGCGTTGCACTTTGAAGCGGGGCTTTATAAATAAAATGCGGCGTCTTGTTCAAAAGAACTTTTAGGGGGACGTTTGATAATTAAAAGTTGGCAACGGAGTCCAAAATTTTTACTTTTAGCATTTGGATGCTGGGAATTTGGATGTTTGGTATTGGTAAATATTGTGTTTGGCAATGTAGATAAATTAGCTGGGAATTTGGATGTTTGGTATTGGTAAATATTGTGTTTGGCAATGTAGATAAATTATTTCTATAAAAGTATTTTCAAACCCAACAGTTTTTTGTCTAGATTTTCCAATTTGTATACGAAGTAGTCGTGAATTGGCTTCATAAGAGTATATGTCTCAACCCGTGTCCTTTTTAAAATATCTCTAATATAGTTTTTGTATTTTTTTTCAAGTTTATTTATTATTTTCTTAAGCCGATACCAAATAATCGAGATAAAGTTCACACGATGATGATCTAATATTTTCTCAGGGCCCTACTAACTCACCATCGCATAAATGCCTATTTTAATTTTAGTTCATTTTATTTTATTTTATTTTCTAGATCACCGATTCGAACCAATTTAGACCTGATTTGAATCGTCGGTCCATTAATCTGACATAGATTTGTGGGTGAACAATCTGCTCCGTCAATCTGAGTTTTGAAACACTGAGAAAAAAAATAAAAAGAGTAAAAGTAAAGCTTCACATTAAAACACTTTATGCATGGGAAATCCCTATGATGGGTCTAAACTCTACTCTTACCATCGATTATAAAATTTAAGCTAAAAATAAGGTACAAATATTATGGATATGTGAACACTTGAAAATAGACAGTCTAGATAATATATTACAATATACTTTATTTTTAGAGCTCGAAATCATATTATTTTCCACAACCATAATAGTCAATGTCAAGATGATTGATTTGAAGGTTTTTCAACACTGAAAAAGTGTTTCTTGAGGTGAGACTTTACATTTTTCCATAAAGCCTTCGCCATATTTTAACCAATAAGACCACGAATAAAAAAACGTTTAAAGTGATTATGTTATACTATATTGTTAGTTTATTCCTTTTTTGTTAGTTTATTCTTATTGAAAGAAAAAATCTTTACAGGATATCTACCATATTTAAAGCAGTATACATATTATAAAAGGAAAATTGTTTCATGCAGGGTGGACCGTCATAGGTGGTCCATCTAAAAACAATTGTAACAAATGGTCCAAAAATTTTCTTAATATAATTATTATTTCTAGTTTTCAAAAAAAAAATCGTATTCATAATCTCCATATTAAATATTATATATTCTCTAAAAATTAGGATCAAATTATATTTAAAAATATATTTATTGTCAAGCCCACATTTCTACAATATGCGGGCTCATAGCATAGAAAAAAATAGTACTTTATAGCTTCCAAGGGAAGTTTATTGAGGATAAATATCTGGTGGTCGTGCGCCTTATAATAGGCTGCGTAGTAAGCATAATTAGATGGTGGGCCATCAGGAACACATGAAATATGAACTTTTCTTTTTATCGGTGCTAGACTTCTGAGGCTCTCGCTCTCTCTTTTCCATATATTTAAAAATAGTACTTTATAGCTTCCACGGGAAGTTTATTGAGGACAAATATCTGGTAGTCGTGCGGTGTATAATAGGCTGCTTAGTGAGCATAATTAGATGGCGGGCCATCAGGAATACCGGAAATATGAACTTTTGGTTCTTTCAGTGCTAGACTTCTGAGGCTCTCCCTCTCTCTCGTTTCCTTGTATTTATTTGGGAAAATATCTCATTATCCCATATTTTTGACTTCTATATCTCATGAGACCCAATGATTGAAAATATTACTTGTAAACAAAAGGTCTCCATCTTTTGTATCTTACAATCCCCTGGACCCCTTTGACCATTAATTTTGTACCCATAGACACACTAAAATGACACTCTCTCCAAAAAAATTTCTAACCCACTTCAACCATTCTAGGGTGCCCTGCCTTTGCATTTGAACTGAATCCACAATGAGCATTCGAATATTGTCATTCGCTATGCGATCAAAGAGATCTTGAAAATACCCAACATCACCAATATTTTCAGAAGTGAAAGCAAAACCATTTCCCCACTCAAGCTCATATTTCCATTGGAGCTTGTACTCCTCTGAGTTTTGGTAGAGCTCATTGTTTCAATAGCTAAAGAGAGAAAGCCATGGTTTTTGTCTAAGAAGCTGTGGAGTACCAAAGATGTGAGAGAATTGTACAAGTTTGTCATCTTGAATGCGTGAGGGAAACGTTTGGAGGGGGAACATGGTGGAGATGGGTAGAGAGGGACAGGAGGTGAGAGCGCCATGGATGAAACCCTGAGAGGCAATGAAGCTTTGGATGGGGAAGAATGGTTTGAGTTTAGAGTTTGATGGGTACCAACCAAAAGAGAGGGAAACATCAATAGAAGGGGTGGACTCTAGAGATGGAAGACTTTTACTTGTGATGCCTTCATTTCTGCAACACCTGTTCACAGAGGTTGGTCACCACGTAGAGAGAGAAAGAGATTTAAACTTTGATAAATCCAGAGAAGAGAGAGAAGGACTGATTATAGGCCGGTGCAGGATTCAAATGGTTGAAAGTTTGATCACCGCGTGAAGTGAGAAAGGGAAAGAGTGATGATTTGAGAGAGAGGGAGAGGGATGGTCACATTGATCAACACATATTGAGAGAAGATTTAGAGTCGATGTAAAGAGGGGAGATAATTTTTAGAGAGAGAAACGATGTAGAGAGTGGAACTTCTTTGCAACTTTAGGTTTTAGAGAGAGAGAGATGGAGTTGAGAGAGAGTGGGAGGGTGATTTGATAGAGTGAACATTAATGAAAAATAAAAAAAATTGGAGAGGGTGTCATTTTAATGTTTCTTTGGGTCAAAAATTCATGGTTAAAGGGGTCTAGTGGGTTGTAAGATAAAAAAGATGAAGACATTTTGCTTACAAGTAATATTTTCAATCATTGGGTCTCTTGAGATATATAAGTTAAAAACAAGGGATAAGGAGATATTTTTCCTATTTATTTTGTGGACTGTAGGTAAGTAGAGTGTAGGATTAGGGTTTCAAGTCTGTGATTTGCTACCTGCCAGACATCACTCTTCAGTCGAACAGAGAGGTTTTCTTCTATGTACAACATCTTCTTTTTTTTTAAGAGGTTTTGTTGTGTCTCCTTTTAATCATCAAGGATTTTTAATCGTTTCTAGCCATTGTCATGGCTAATTTGTTTTCTCAATTTGAACAATAAAATAAGTTTGCTTTAGTTTGGTTACCAAAGCTAAGAATTAATTGTTGATTTCAATTTTAATTGAAATGAAGTTAGCAATTCCCATCTTGATTATTCAGTATGTTGAAATCAAATCAAGAATTTTCAACTTTGTTCTTTATGGGTTTATGAAATTATTAAGACGCTTTTCTTATTGATGAGTTTTATTTAACCTTATTGATGAGTTTTATTTAACCTGAGCTTTATCTTTTATAGTTATTTATTTTACAATTGTTTTTACTAAAATCTTGTCAAATATCTAAGATTAAAAAAAGTGGCAATCCTTTTTTTGTTTTTTGACAAAGTTCAATTTTATGTATTTGCCGCCTAACTTTGTCTTACTAAACTTCCATTAAGTAAACTAATTGGTTAAATTTTTTCTATTAGGGACAAAAAAAAACTTTTTTTAGCCAACAAAAGCCCTCGATGTAGAATATCTAAGCATCTCCCTCTTTCCTGGATTGCATTCAATCAGATCAACAATCTTGAAGTAAGGATTTAATCTTCATAGTATGATCCGGCCCAACTTTGGTTGTCGGGTCTTAGAGCTCAGCGCTCTAGGCTCTTTCTTTCTTTTTGCTTTATTTCTTTTTTATTTTATTTTTTATTTGATTTGCTTCATTATTATTTTTTCTTTAATTATTTAGTTTTGTTTTCTTATTAAATTTATTATTCCCATTATCCTTTATTTCTTTTATCCTTTTATTAGCTTCATTAGTTTAATTAATATTTTATCTTCATTTTCATCAATCTTTATGTTCTTTAGTTCTATTATTATCGATCTTCATGCTTCAATTATTTATTTAGATCTATTATTTCTATTTTTTTGTGTTCTTTTGTATTTATTTTGTATTTCACACTATTTAAGCTGGTTCTACCATAGATTTGCAAAGAATAGGTATATCGAGGTTGATTTCTCATTATTTTTGAATTTCATGGGACCTACTTCTATCGAATCCTCTAAATAACTAAATTTGCGCATGATCCAAGAAGAAATAGACTTCTTTTATGATAGTTGGTCTCAGATTTGTGCATAGACAATTACATATAAGAGTAAGTCAAAAGGAAACCTCATGACCCAATTCTTATGTTGCATGGTGAAGTCCTATTTCCATAAGGATTATTCCTAATTTTTTTAAGTTCATATATTATAGGAGATAATTTTAAGACACCTAGTACTATGGGATTTCCCATGTTTCTAGTTGATAGGATATCATTTTGATAAACCTAAATCTAAAAGGTTTGAGAATAGAAGAGCATCATATAGGTATCTTTCAGGTTTCTATTTTTATAAACAGATTTTGTGTGGAGAGAAAATAAGTACAAGAGAAAAAGGGTAAGTTATATTTGGTCTCAGAGATTTAGGATTGAATATTCTTGTTGGGCACAAAATTTGTGCTAGATAGCAGATCTTTGAAGATGGCTGGAGGAAGTTCACCCAAATGTAAAATCCCAAAATTCAATGGTTCGAATTTATAAATCTAGAAGTTAAAGATGCATGCAATATTCGTAAATGATGGCTACGTAGTGACTTTAAATGACGAAGAAAAGAAACCTGCAAAGAAGAATGATGAGGATTTTGATAAGAAGGATGAATTGACTATAACAAATACTCTTTTAGCTTTAGATGAATCCATTTTATTCAGAAGGCTCCTCAGAAAATATGGTAAAATACTTATAAGACAAGCAGAAAAAGACCTATGAAGATAAAGTTTCTATATGATGAAAAATTCCTCCGTCGACTTTATACTCTCAATATAAATGATCATGCTTCTTGTAATGGGCATTTAAATG